AAATTCACCCCAAAATTATCCCAAAAATTATCCCAAATTCCCAAATTCCCAAAAAATCCCGAAATTCCTGCAAAAAATCCATTCAAAAATGCCCAAAAAACCCAAAATGGCCCCATTTTTTCTCCATTTTTCCCCATTTTTTCCCAAATTCCCCCATTTTTTCCCCATTTTTCCCTCTCCCAGTCCGTCCCAGTATAAACCAGTATAAACCAGTATAAACCAGTTCCCATTCCATTTTTTCCCATTTTTCCCCATTTTTTCCCCATTTTTAACCCTTTATTCCTCATTTTTTCTCATTTTTTCCCCATTTTTTCACCGATTTTCGTCATTTTTTCACCATTTTTTCCCATTTTTTTTGTATTTTTCCCCATTTTCCCCCTCCCAGTATAAACCAGTATAAACCAGTATAAACCAGTTCACTTTCCTCCATTTTTCCCATTTTTCCCCATTTTTTCCCCATTTTTAACCGTTTCTTTCCCATTTTTTCCTATTTTTTCCCCATTTTTTCACCGATTTTTGTCATTTTTTCACCATTTTTCCCCGTTTTTTCCCCATTTTCCCCTCTCCCAGTATAAACCAGTATAAACCAGTATAACCCAGTTCCCATTGTATTTTTTCCCCATTTTTTCCCCATTTTTTCTCGTATTTTCCCCATTTTTTCACCGATTTTCCCCATTTTTTCACCGTTTTTTCCCGTTTTTTCCCCATTTTCCCCTCTCCCAGTCCAAACCAGTATAAACCAGTAAAACCCAGTTCAATAAACCCCATTTTTCCCCATTTTTAACCCTTTATTCCCCATTTTTAACCCTTTGTTTGCAATTTTTTCCCCATTTTTTCACCGATTTTTGTCATTTTTTCACCATTTTTCCCCGTTTTTTCCCCATTTTCCCCCTCTCCCAGTATAAACCAGTATAAACCAGTATAAACCAGTATAAACCAGTTCCCATTGCATTTTTTTCCCCATTTTTTCCCCATTTTTTCTCGTATTTTCCCCATTTTTTCACCGATTTTTGCCATTTTTTCATCATTTTTTCCCATTTTTCCCCATTTTTTCCCCATTTTCCCCTCCCAGTATAAACCAGTATAAACCAGTCCAAACCAGTTCTCACCTCTCCCCGCCAGCAGCATGTCCGAGCGCGTTTGGGGCCCGGGGCGATCCCGCGCCGGCTCCAGAGAGAATTCCCGGCGATGGCGGGGGTGGAACAGCGGGATGCACAGGAAATCAAACCTGGAATTAGGCCGGGCTTAACTGGGATAGGCTGGGTTTAAAATCGGGATTAACTGGGATTAACTGGGATAAACTGGGATAAACTGGGATGGACTGGGATCACAGAATTCCCGGCGATGGCGGGGGTGGAACAGCGGGATGCACAGGAAATCAAACCTGGAATTAGGCCGGGCTTAACTGGGTTAGGCTGGGACTAACTGGGATAGACTGGGATTAACTGGGAAAAAATTGGGATCAAAAAAACCGGGATTAACTGGGGTAAACTGGGATCAAAAAACTGGGATTGACTGGGATAGACCAGGATTAACGGAGATTAAAAACCGGGATTAACTGGGTTAAACTGGGCTTAAAAATCAGGATAAACTGGGATAAACTGGGATAAACTGGGATAAACTGGGATAAACTGGGATGGGAGAATTCCCAGCGATGGCAGGGATGGAACAGCGGGATGCACAGGAAATCGAACCTGGAATTAGGCCGGGCTTAACTGGGATAGGCTGAGTTTAAAAACTGGGATTAACTGGGATAGACTGGGATAGACTGGGATTAATGAGATTAATTAAACTGGGATTAACTGGGATGGCAGAACTGGCAGGGATGGAACAGCGGGATGCACAGGAAATCAAACCTGGAATTAGGCCGGGCTTAACTGGGATAGGCTGGGCTTAAAAACCGGGATAAACTGGGATAAACTGGGATTAACTGGGATGGGAGAATTCCCGGCGATGGCGGGGGTGGAACAGCGGGATGCACAGGAAATCAAACCTGGAATTAGGCCGGGCTTAACTGGGATAGGCTGAGCTTAA